AACTGTTTATGAACACACACGTCAATATATTTCATACACAAAATTTTCAGGCTTTTTTCTTTCAATTCTTGAACTTCTGCCACAGGAAAAACAGGCCTCGAACACTGAGAACTCTTGAGTCACTACAAAACACAAAACAAAACATAACAATTTCTTTTCCATCAACAACCAAGATAAAAAATAAATAAATAAAACACACACACACACACACACATACACACATCCACACACACAAAAAAAGAAAAGGTAACAATCCTCAATTCAGGAAAATATTTGGTCGCTTTTAATGACAAGCGGGCTAACCCAGATTTTGGGAGTTTCCAAAAATCTTGACCTATACCAAAAGTGGGCATTGCCCCACCTATAGGAGAAGTTTGGTTTCATTGGTGTGTATATTTGCTTGGTTATAGATAAAAACTCTTCTTGTCTTTTGAAGAAACTGAACAAGGGGCAAAAACTTTACCTTCGATTTTCTCAAAACAGCATTTTTCGGAATAGCCCCCTTGAGCTTAAAAGCGAGAATTTGAGAGCAGCAGTTTTGGGAACGGAATCTCCCACCAACTCACCAACGTTGACTCCAAACTCTGCCTCCCCTACCAGCCCCTTCTGCCTGAAGTCGTAGAGGTGGCCGTTGATGGAGAGCTCCTGCACACAGCCCACAAAGGTGTAGTCTGTGCCCACTCGGCCTGCGATGCTGGCCATGTCGGAGAAACCTCCCACGTACATGTTCAGTCGGAACGTGATTCTCGTGTAGTCTCCCTGGGAAGGAAAAAAAAAAAGGCCGCATTTTGTTATTTATCTCCTTTTTATTTTGTCTTTTTGATTTTCTTGTTTATTTTGCTTTCACTTTTTCCCCCCTCCTCCCTGTCATCTTCTTTCTTTCTTCTTTTTCTTCCCTTCTACTTTCAATTTTTTCTTCGAACTCTCTCTCCTCTTTTCTTTTTTTTCTTCTTCCTTCCTTCCTCATCCTGCTTTCACTTTTTTTCCCCTCCCTTTCATCTTTTTCCTCTTTTTCTTCTTCTACATCTTTTCCTCCCCACCTTCCAGCCGCCCCTTCTCCATCCTCTTTTTATCTTCTTTCTCCACCTTCTCTCTCTTCCTATGAGTAATAGTTCATATACAACAATATATTTATCCTATTCTTTCTTCCTTAACAAACAGAATATAGCAGAAAGTTGCCCACCAATGTTTATTAAAGAGTTTTACAATGCTTGTGACACAATAAGGTCATATCAGTGCCAAAATTAGATGTGTTACAAGACTGTAACAAACACACAAAAAATAAGGAAGATTAATAGGAAGGAAGGAGCAAAC